ATGATAAAGTGTATTTTAAAAATGATTAAAACTGTAAAATGTTCTTATCAGGAAAAATATATTCCACCTATTTCGTTTGAAAATGAATCTTAGCAAAATTTGCCAAAAAATCAATATAAAACAAAAAGTAACTAAGAAAAAATATTGTAGGAGATAAAACAGATAACAAGTTACATTTTCGAGCTTTGATATTTAGGATAATTAAGTGGTCTATCTAAAATGCCATAAACTATTATCTATATAAGTATTAAAATGCTGTGACACTGCGTGTTTCCAAGTTTCTATTATACATACAAATGACCTGTGTATGCCTTAAAACAACAGGTTTATAATTTGGGTGTGCATCACAGGAGGGAAGTCTGTTTAAAATGCAACTGTCTGAGCCCTACTCCAGACCTACTGAATCTGAATCTACCCTAAAAGAAAACTAATATTTACAAAGTGATCCAAAACATCACTGGTGGGTGCACAATATTTTGCTTTCTAGACACAGTTTAAAATACCCTTTCAAGTTCTACAGTTGTGCTGGCCAACAATGCTAGCTTATGAACACAACATGAATATTAATAAATAAATGTACAATCTGATTTTTTTTTTTTTGGTACCAGAGACGTTTAACCACTGAGCCACATCCCCAGCTGTTTAGAGCCACAGTCTCACTAAATTGCTGAAGCTGGTTTTGAACTTGCAATCCTCCTGCCTGAGCCTCCTGAGCCACTGAGATTACCAGTGTGTGCCACCACACCCAGCACAAACTGCACTTTTGCAGAATAGATATCACCTCTTCAGAGAGGTCTTCCAGAGTTGCTTTGCAATGGATGTTCTCATATGTATCCCGCTTTTCTTTTCAAAATTCTCATCAGATCTATAATTGTTTATTTAATATCCAGACTTCCCCTAAACTGTAATTTCCATGAGAGTATAAACTGTTTCAGTTTTGTCTGTGAGTTTAACCTTAGGGTCTATGCATAAATGTTTGAATTAATAAATGCACAAGTAGGGCCAATACTGCTAAAGAAATGTGGGATCAAATTATAAACAGGATGGCAGGCTAAGGAGTCTGACTTCTGTCTTACAAATAACAGGAAACTTAAAGCAGAGTAACTTAAAGAAAACTATATTTTAGAATATTAATCTGGTATCACTCTACAATATGACATGTAGTCATACTGCAAATTAAAGTCAACATGACAAATCAGCCACAACTGAGGATCAGAAGAAGAGTTAGCAGTCCATTGAAGCCACCCTGCCAGGATAGCATAAGGGTATGGTGTTACAACAGCAGAAAGGGACAAGATGTGACATGTTGAAATCATTACAAATGGCTTAATGACACAAGGAGTTGAGGATATAGAAAGAATCAAAATATCAGTGTTAGAAATCTAGTTTAAAACAGAAAAGGGAACTTATTGGTTCATTTAACAACTGTCTACAGGTAGGTATGGCTGGATCCAGACTCAAATGATTCACTTCTTTTTTTCCTCATGTTCTCTAGTCTCAAAAAATCTCTTTTGGCACAGCCAAAAACATGGCAGCTGATAACCATAAAACCATTCTTAAATCTTGCTATGTGCAAAGCAAGAGGCCTTTTATCCCTGGAGGATCTATAAACTTACTGG